GGTGTGGGGCAGAGGTGGCCGCGCAGGGGACAGGCGGTTCCCAGGGGCGAGGGTCCGTGGCGCCTTTGGGCTCGCAGAGGGGCTGTTTGCTCTGTGGGTGCCCGAGTGATGAGTTGCCGAGGGAGAGGACGGAGCGCGGGGCAAGAGGTTCTTTTGCTCTGTCAACACTCTTAAGAAAGAAGTTTATCGTGTTTTTTGACAACTGCCCGCACTGACCTGCGGAGAAGGTGGATCTTCAGTGCGGCCCTGGGTGCTCGATTCAGAGGGTGGTGTAGCTCAGTTCCACTTCCGATTGCTATAATGTATATTTTTACATAAATTTTTAAAAATATATATTTGCCTGCCAACTATTCACTCGTTATACTGTATATATGTGCGATTACTTGAACAGTAAAATATAATTGTCTTTGCTTTCACTTCCAGTGTCTGCTTTTTTTAGCAGGATGCTCCTTAAAATTGATATAAAATAAATGATTTTACATTAATTTTACACTTGAAGGCCCGTTTTCATCTTCCAACAAACCCTACTTCAATAAAATATCTAAAAATTTATTGAATCCTCTTCTCTATTTAGATTAATTATCATTTGTTATTTACAGTAAATAGATGCAGCGTTGAATAACAACATTATTACTTTTTGTTATTTTGAAGCGTTTCAAATCTGTTAGGAAAGTAAAACCCAGCCTTGCTAACACCTTTCACATGCTTCCCGTTAAGCACAAGGCCTTAACCACTCTGAGTGGCAGTGTTTGTATGCTTAAAATCGAGCATGGACACACATCTCGTGATGCCTAAATTGTTTTTCCCTTTTCTCCTTTCCTTGAATCAACTCTTACTCTCACTGCAGCCAACATGAACTTCTGCTGCTGGCTTCAGTCAGACTGCTTATAATCAAGGTGTCAGCCATGTTATTCTCTCAGCACTCGCTGAGGATCAAAATAAAAACCAGCCAAGACGCTGGATATTTCAGTGTCGGAGCAGCTTGTTAGAGGAAAAGAGTAAACGCAGCTGGCAGCATTGGCCAGAAGACCCAGAGATTAACTACAACTAATTCAGTCTAAGAACTCCAAGTTGTGCGTAAAAGAACAAAGCGACAGAATGGAGTTTGAATTCTGTGTATTCCTGTTCAGTTTTATCTAGGTATGAAAACCAGATCACTATTTTGTCGGACTACTTAGAAGAATTTCCAGAAACTGATGAGCCAGTGTGGATTCTAGGAAGGCAACACCACCTAAACACAGGTATGAACATTCATCTGCAGAATCTGTATGGAACGCTCATAGATTCACCTGCAGCAGCAGCTCCTGATCTCCTTACATTCTCTAAATGACTTATGAGAGAAGTTTATTTTTCTCCATCAATAAGAAGCCAGCTGTAAGCAGTGATATTCATCCTACAACGAAACCAGGAGTTTACCAATGTGCTTTCTACCGTAAGAGATCGTACGTGTAGCAAAGGCCAGTCAGGTATGAGTCTGGTCACTTCTCCACATCAAATGCCTCAGAAATAGATAAATAAATAATTTTAGGGGAATGTTCAGTATCACTAATATTATTTTCCCTTGAGGGGTGATGTCTGCAGACTGTTATTTGCAACTAAAATGATATTTCAAAAGAATAATAAATTAATCTAGGGCATGTACTGTACCTTGATGAAAATAAATACATGACCTAAAAGTCATAGCAGAGTGATGATATTTATATATCATATAAAAATAAGATTTCAGAAATGAGTTTTGCTCCGTGGGGAGAAGACAAGGGCATCCTCCTGCGTTACATGTCCGAGGCAGTGGCGTGGTGTTCAGGAGAGCCGAGGGTACAGCATACAGCCTTGAGCAGCTGAAGGATCCCTTGAAAAGGCCAGTCAGTCTGAGCCACGGCTCAGAGAAACTGCAGTAAATAAGGTTCTCAAGAATTCTTCAGAACCTTTGGGAGAATTCTGTAAGCACATGTATTAAAAATAAATAAATAAATAAATTTAATGTTATTAACCTTTTCTTAAAATTACTTTGTGTTGGGTTTGGAGATGATGCATAATTCCATGTTGGTTTGCATGTAGAAATTCCTCACCTTTCTTAACTTGCTTTACCAGTTCTTTCCTGAGGATGTAGTTCTCCACAGGTGTTTCATTCAAGCTGGGCATAGTCATTCCAAACACCTTGTAAAATTTCATTGACTAGTAATTATTTCATCCTGAATAAGTTAACTGTAATTAGCACATACAAAAGCTCTATGTGCTTAAACAGCTAAAAAATGTTTCAAGTATTAAGGGTCTTATTTGTAAAAGCTAACAGGAGTCTTCCATGCACTCTGTATATTGACTGTACAGGGAAAATGAGAATTTTTCAGTTTTAAAAGTTCACTTTAATAATATTTTTCCTCTTAAAAATATTGCAGACAAATCTAAGTTCCTGTTGGATATAAGTGCTCGCCTCTGGTTTACGTATAGAAGAAAGTTTTCACCTATTGGTGAGTATTCAGCAGACCAGCTGCTTTGTTATAAATAAGACAGTAGAATTAGTGATGTTATCATGGACCGAGACGTTATTTTTACAGTATTAGAACAGTTTGAGCATCATTTTAACTGTTATGCAAACAAAATATTAAAGCTATTAAAAGCTGTGTTTACTTGTACCTGCATATAATCAAGTCTGCATGTTTGTAGAGCAAGCAGTAAAGTTAGACCAGCAATCTGGAAAGAAGAGCTCTTGCTCAGTGCCTTTTATCCACAGGACAGTTGTCAGAGATTTTAACTCAGATTTTCTCTGTGGTGCTGTGCTCATTTTAAAGCCCATCTTGATGGTAACGAACTTTTTTAATAGGAGGCACTGGTCCTTCGTCTGATGCTGGCTGGGGCTGTATGCTGCGATGCGGGCAGATGATGCTGGCACAAGCTCTGATCTGCAGACACTTAGGAAGAGGTGAGTACTGTTGCTGAGGGAACTTTTGTGTTGTCTGGAGGCTGTTTAGTTTTTGTTGTAGTTTTCCAAAAAAGCACAAAAGCTAAATTTATTACTGAAACTTTCTTTGATGCCCTGATGGAAGTTATTAGTGAATTATTCTTGTCTGAAGGGGCGAAATCATGCTAGCCTTAAGCAGAGAAGTAGAAATAGAGGGAGGACAAATAGGGAATCACATTGTCGTTATTTTGTACAATTTTTTGAGGAATACCCATGTTGAGGCCAAGGGAAAACCTGCCACCATGGGTCTGAGTGCTTACCCTTCTCTTCATTGCTTACATAGCCACCAAACGTTCACACACAGTGACATAGTGATAGACACCATACAAAGTACTTCACAGACCACTCATCCATCACCAGCCTGAGGTCCCAACCCCACAGCAGAACCCATTAGTGCAAGCTCTTAAGCCTGTATCAACACCTCACATCCCAGGATCAGGGGTAAGTGTTTAAACAGCTAAACAAAGTTTTAAGGGTCTTATTTGTAAAAGCTAACAGGAGTCTTCCATGCACCCTCTATATTGACTGAACAGGGAAAATGAGAATTTTTCAGTTTTAAAAGTTCCTTTTAAGGTCTAGTCTGTGTGTTTCTGCCATATTAATTAAATTATTAGTTAGGTCTGTAACCCTCATGCTATGGTGCTGTGGTTTCTATGGCAACATGCTTTGTGGATTTCTCTACTTCACTAACTCAATAACTGATTCCACAGAAGGATTTATCCACTTGAATAACTGAATCCACAGAATGGAGGTGCAAAGATTTAACTGAAGGAGTAGGCAAACAAGCAAATTAGAATTTTGCAGTTTTAAAAGCTTTGGATTTTGCTGTGGGAGAGGGTCAGCATTGTGTTTGGACTTTGCTTTAGGGATCTTAGATCATTATCTTCCAAATGCTTACATTATGCTTACAAATCGAACAAAATCTAAAGAGCATATAGTTTGCAACCATCTTGGAAGCTCGCATACAGCAAGAGCTATCAATGCTCAACAGTGATCACTCAGAATATATCTGCAGTTGACATTTTTAATCAAGCCTGTGACCATAAAGAGCAGCTTGATAATAAATTATAAGCTGTGACTTTTAGGAACTCTAAACAAAATATAAATATTAGAGATGAATTGTACATCAGTCTTTTGACATCTCATTGTGTGGCTTTCTGCTATCTAGAAATGTGATCGGGATGATGGAAACATTATTATTTTTTAATCTGTATAACTTTTTTTTCCTGTAAGATTGGCAATGGGACAAACACAAAAAACAACCAGAAGAATATCATAGAATCTTACGGTGCTTTCTAGATAGAAAGGATTGCTGTTATTCCATCCACCAAATGGGTAAGAACACACAACCACCTTGGTTTTTTCCACTGAAATTCCTACTGTGTTGAAACTTTCTAATTGTAAATATGTTAATTCAGAAATGTTAAAAAGGTGATTATGAAGACAATGTATATGTTTATACATAAACATAAATACATGCAAATGGGTACAAAGTATAATAATTCAGAAATGTTATTCACTGAGACCTAAATAAAGCTGTATACTAGAATCTAGCTCTCGATAAAGTAAGTAAACCTGGGGTATCAGAGTTGATAGTATTAAAAATAGACATTCACAAAGCTTATTGCTGTAATCTGTAATAAAGGACGCTAATATTTGTCATTCTCATTACAGTTTAGAAACCTTTTGTAAAGGAACTAGCAGTCATTACAATTTGAGAAGAGCATAGATTGAGAAAATAGTTGTTGCTAAATACAGTTTGCCCTAGAATGTATGTCAGATTATTAGTAGGTCGTGCTATTTAACTTGTTTTGTGACCAGACTCTCTGTGGTCTTTTCTGTGTGTGTGCATGTGTGTGTCCCCTCATCAAAACAGCGCAGATGGGAGTTGGAGAGGGGAAATCGATTGGAGAATGGTTTGGACCAAATACAGTTGCTCAAGTACTGAAGTAAGTCAAATCGCAGTAGCTCATTCGGAACGTACTCCCTTGGGGGCAGCTGAGCTCAGAGACCAAGATAAGGTGCAAGACACAGTTTTAAAGGCTGATCTGCCCCTCTCAGAGTCAGGAGTATACACAGCATGTGTTTGCAAGTACAGCACAGACCACGACGCTGTAGCCTGGGGGTTGGGTACTGAGTTGGGATTGGGCAAGTTCTAAATTTTAATAGATCAAGAGCCTGGGGAAGACCTACAAAAAGGTCTCTCATGCTGGGCCATCTACATCCCCTAACCAATAGGCACCAGAGATGTGTGTTCCTTCCCACAAAGCAACACAGCTCTGACAAGTCAAGAGTGCCACCAGGCAGATCAGAGTGGTGGTACAAAACCTCAGGGTGAAGCCATCGAGGCCCAGCAGGCACTGAACTGCAGTTCCTCACTGTCTGGGCTGCAGTTCTGCCCGAGGCTGCTACATGGCAGACATGGGTGGCTCCTAGTCTAGAAGCCATGCTTTTATAAAAGAGGTGATTTTGGTCCATTTCTGAGGGATAGGTGAAGATGCCAAATCTCAAGCGGAGGCTAGACTGCAGGTCCTGAGTGCTGAGCAGCAATTCTCTCCAGCCCTAGGACAGGCACACATTCTGGAGAGAGAGGAGGACTAAAGCAGGCCCTGGCCTCCAGCTCTTTTCACTTACAAATTCTTCATGGCTTAGTGCTCACATACAGGTTTTTCTGGCTTATTTTAGACAGCTGACTCTGCTGCACAGCTTAAGAGTGTAACTCCCTTCCACAGTTTTGGATTTTGCGTAAGCAGACAGAAATCTGTGCTATAACACCTCCCTCCTAACTTTTGGGTGCTGAAAACCTTCAGCTGATCTAGTTTTTAATGTCCTGAGTCTGCTGTCCATGTGCACAGAAACAGTTCCACTTCTTAAGCAAAAAGTGATGTGCAGAACTGGCACAGGAATCTTTTTCCTTCTCTAGACAATGGCAGGCACAATGGGCAGGATCCCCTTGCGGAGGCTGTTAAATGCAATAAAAAATAAACCTAATTATGTGGTTGAGATGTTACTATCGCTATATTTGGCAAAAGGACAAAGCAGTTTTCCCATGGTACAGTGTGAGTGCTTTTCCTGGTACCACTCAGTATTTATTTTTCTAAATGTAGTAAATATTAAATATTCAAAGTTATCTTTTCATTACACAGAGACTTAAAAAAAAATAATTCCAACAAGTATGCTTTTCCAAAGAAACAATTTTTTTAATCAAGAGCCATCTAATTGTCCTGAATGAAAAGCTACCCTTGTGGTCCTAATTAGTTTATATTAATTATTACCTTAATGTTTTCTAGGAAGCTTGCTTTATTTGATGAATGGAATTCATTAGCAGTTTATGTATCTATGGACAATACAGTTGTCATTGAAGACATCAGTAAGTGAAACATTAGTTCTCTGGTTACAGTTTTTGATTTGACCCCACTTTCCTGAATGTATCTAAATATAAACAAAATACTTTTGTTCCCAGGGTAAGGAGAGGAATAAAGGAAAGGCAGACTCAGGGTTTGGGTGTCCAAAACTAAGGCTAGCACACAACAGCATGGGCCTTTTTGGTGGCCAACTTGCACAGTCTGGGAGAAGATGGAATTTGGTCTGTGCTTGCAAAACTCCTACCCCAGAAATGGAATGAGGTTGCACTGTGCAGAAATGCAGAGAATTGTTCTTGATACAGAGTTTGCCAGAGATGTGCTTTTCTCAGGGGAAAGAGAAACCAGGGGCAGATCCTAGAGAAACACGTGGCCAGGGTTAATTTTCAGTTGAAATAAAGGTGGGTTTACAAGTGGTATTTACCCACAGCCTATTTCTACGTCAGTCCCTACTTCTTATTTTATGTTCACACACTGGAAATGAAGAGTTCCCAGAAGAGTTTCTAATGCTATTACCTCTGCCATTTCATTTCCCGGGCAAAGCTTGACAGTATTAATAATGCTAGTAGTAAATGCAACTTCAGTCTTAAATTTTCATCCCCTAGTCGTTTATCTCACGTCTCACTAACGTGCCAGCACATGCTCTGTCTGGCTGCAATTACTTCTGCTAAATAGTTCCGATTCCCATGCCCTGCTCCATTTGTCTTAAAGCAGGAGCTCTGTAAAGATGTCTGGCAAAGTAGCTTAATGCATGACCGAGAGGAAGATCTGCTCTGTGTTCCTCTGTGCATTTATTGATTTCTGTTGTTATTCCCACAGAGAAAATGTGCTGGTCCCCTCCCCAGGGCAGCAGCGCAGCCCACAGCAGTGCACATTTGCACAGAAGTGCTCTTGGCCGAAACAAGAACACAGCAGGATTCTGCACAGGCTGGAAACCGCTCCTGCTTATTATACCTCTGCGGCTGGGGATAAATCACATCAACCCAGTGTATATTGATGCATTTAAAGTAAGGGCTTTTTCAGGGAATTGTTTCTTACTGTGAAATAAGTTTGGGTATCTGTTGTAGTTGATTTGTTTATTGATACAATTTAATTTTTCTCCCTTTCAACTTCTAGGAATGCTTTAAGATGCCACAGTCCTTGGGAGCATTAGGAGGGAAACCAAATAATGCCTATTACTTCATAGGATTTTTAGGTAAGGAAAAAAGGAACTTCTTCCCAATATGCATATAATCTAAAGAGATAGGGGTGGGGTGGGGTTTTTTTGGTTTGTTTGTTTTTTTTTAAGAAGGGGAAATAGTAAGCGGTTTAAGCATGAGAATAGAGTAGAAGAAATGAAGAAACATAGCTCAGATACTTCAGGAACAGTAAGATATCATCCTTACAGAATGGAAAAGCACCAAAGCTTGACTTAAAAATAAGTAATGATATAAGCAAGGGAAACACACCAAGAATAGTCAATAGCATTTGACAAGTGTCAAATGTCACTACTGCTAAAATACTGATTTTATTTTTTTTCCCCTAATCATTAAGACATCCAGTTTTATTCTTTTGTTTTACAGTTTTCTTAAATTATTTTCTTGTATTTCTAATATTTTCTGATAGCGGTATCTTTTTCACCTTCTTCCACGTCTTCCTTTATTAATTAAAGCAGTAGTTAATACTAGATTCAGTCTTTCAGATTTCACCCCAGTTTGATCCATAATTTTATGGATATTTTGTTCTTTCTTTTGTAAAACCTGAACTGTAATAGTCAGACTTCTTTGTTCCAATTCCTGAATGAATGCCTGATGGGACTATAGATTGCATTTGTGGTCATCCTGTACCTTTCCATCCATGGAATGTTAAGGATCACAACAGTTGAGATTTTTAAAAAATGTACTGAACCTCACATAGAAAAAGGAAAGTATGTGACAGAGGCAGAACAAACCAAAAAATCTATAGTAAGAGGTCACAATTAAAAAATTATACTAAATACCCTGTGGGAAACTATTGTGTCTAACTTTCTGATTCTCTTGGAGACTCCCTAGCTAAAAAGTCTAGATATTGACTGTGATGATAACTTAATTTCTATTTTACAAGTCTGGATGGAATAAGTGCTTATTAAAGTCTCTTGTTTATTATTAACATATGGATTTTACCTGTACAGGCAACGAGCTGATCTATTTGGACCCTCACACCACTCAGAGTTTTGTAGATTCGGAAGAAAATGGCACAGTTGATGACCAGAGCTTCCACTGCCAGCAAGCCCCACACAGAATGAAGATCATGAATTTGGACCCTTCAGTAGCTTTAGTAGGTGTTAAGAAATACTCAATGTGTAAACTTTATGTCTTAGTAATAGCTCCGTGTGTTGGTAAGGGCAGTAATGCATTTCCTTGAGCAGAATGAAGATCACAGGGCAGCCTTCTCCAATCTAAAATTCAACATATGGCAGTTTATATATTAACATAGGATGCATATAGGTCAAGCAGGGAACTGGCTGTTTGTATCTCGGGGAGCTAATTAATTTTATTTACTGAGCAGCATTTACCTTTTGCAAGAAGTATTTTAAAGGTCAAAGCAAGGAAGCTAATCATGTTCCCTTATTTTATTGCATGACTACTGTATAGGCATGGTCACTCTGGACAAGTTATTTAAGCTTAACTTACTTATATCATAATTTACAAATCTTTAAACTTGTAGAAGTCATCCAGTATATGTCACAAGGATACTGTAGTAGTTGAAGAAATTAAATCTGATCCTGTGCCAATATCCTTTGGTTGGGTTATGGGTGATTGTCACTTGAGACATAAGTTTCTAAAGCTTTAAACAATGTATAATGATACCACAGCATCCTGCACTTCTCCACATACTGTTTTTATTTCATACTACTACTGTATGTATTTTTTTCCTTAGGGCTTCTTCTGCAAAGAAGAATGTGATTTTGATAACTGGTGTAGTCTTGTACAAAAGGTAACAATACTGTCTTTATTTGTTCCCTATGAAATAATATATACTTTTTTTAAAAAAGGAAATTCCCATTGCATCTTTCTCTGCACGGAAATTAAATGAGCCGTAGAGGAGAATGCATGAGTGTGTCAGGGTCAGCCCGTACTACTGAACTGCTAAGTGGAGCTTGTTCAGCACTTTGACAGCCATGAACCCTGACACTTGGGAAATGGGTGTAAATATATACCCTTAAATATATACCCTTAAAAGTGTTCCTTTTTTTGGCACTACTCTTGTTACTGGATGAAACTTACTTTTAATATTTATTTCTCAGTAAATGACTAAGTTTTCACTGCCATGTTTTAGCTATTTATTTATTTGCTTCCTAATCCTTTTGTATTGATTGACATCATATATTATTATGTGTTCTTATTATGACTGCTAGTCCTTGGTGCCTCAAAAGATCTGATTCTCTAAGCACTGAATCCTTCCAGCTGCTGCTGAACTGTGGGACACACAAAAGGTGGTTAGTGCCACAGGAAAAGGACCTGAGGACGTTTCTGCATGCAGTTGGGTAGACTAAGCAACAGAAGTAGGAATGTCAAGGAACTTCAACCTCTAAAGGCATTTATAAAAAAAAAAATAAAAAAAAGGCTAAGGAAAACAATTTGTAAATAACTGAAATACAGGATGTGATATAGCTTACCTGATTGAAGAGGAGTAGAATTTGGCTTCAATAATAACTTGTTTCTCCTGATCAAAACCTACCCTTCAAAACCTGTTGTTTTTTGGAGCTGATAGATCTGTCTTTTCTTCCCGTTGATCAACAGAAAACTTGAATGCAGAGAGGTCCATGCAAGGAATTTTCTTTTAAAAGGCAGAAAATATTGTATGTTCTTGGTTTCTGTGTGCTACATGTAAACAAGTTTATAGATGTATGGATATCAAAGTTAATTATAGCCCACTGGCAACTTGTAGGACAGTTCAAGAGATCTGTCTTCCAGGTGTGTTTTCCAGTAGGAAAATATGTCAGAGATCTGTGAAGCAGGAACTTGAAATAACAGGTTTTCACTGTGTGTCTGCATAAAGCCTTTGTTTTTTCATAGACATACATAATTAAAAATGTTGTTAATTAAGCAGATATTTTTTGTGTTTGAACGTTCTCTTGAGGCAACTTTTAAAATGAAAGTGTTCCGTCCTCAGGAGATTCTAAAGCAACAGAGTCTACGGATGTTTGAGCTGGTCCAGAAGCACCCACCACACTGGCCTCCTTTCATACCTCCAACAAAGCCCGAAGTGACAACGACAGGAGCAGGTGCAGTACACACTGACAGTACTAGAGACAGCAGAGCGTTCCTCATTAGCAGACAGAATAATCACAGGTGGAATAATTGCGCTTTCCTAAGTGTCAAGCCCTCACCACGTGATTAAATGTCTTACTCTTACCCAATATCAGACAGTTATCCCAACGGGCCACATAACCATTGCTACCACAGATTTTGTTTTTTATATCTTACAAAATACTTTGAAGGACACATTCCAGAAAAGTTTGTTGTTGGTTGTGGTTTTAAATAAACAAAATCAGGCATATCTTTAGATTTTATTTTTTTTTCCAGAACTCATTGAATCTACTGACAAGCTCTTTGAAGTGGAAGAAGAATTTGAAATCCTGAGTGTATGAAGGAAACTGTGGTGACCCTTCTGCGTATTGAACATATTGCTAATATTATTGCATTGACTTAAATGAAACAGCCATGTTAGCCCCAAAGTGCCTGAAAGTACAGATGACAGAGCACAAAAACCTAGTAGCATCCAAAACTCCAACGGTGACCGTTCCTGCTGTCAAAGAACTTCCCCAGATGGAAAGGCAGTAACAGACCTTGCAGTGAGACCCTCAAAGGGAAACATCTTTTTAATGTGTGTCTTCCCTGAAGACAAATGGACCTTTGAGATCAAGGCGAAAATAAGTGTATCACTGGGTTCTATGTTTGGAGAAAGGGATAACCCCAAATGGATATTTCTTGCTCTCATATAATGCAATATTTTAGTTCTTAAAGCAAAACAGTCTTCAGTTAAGGAGGATGTTTGCTTCTGTTCCCTCCTGTGGGCTGCATCATAGAAAAAATACATTGTCTTGTTTAAAAGATCGACTGGATCAGAAGAAAATTGTTTCCTTGTTAAATATTTTAACATGTATTTGAGCAACCACAGTTTATTACAAAAATGTTTCTGTAAAAGGAACTATGTCTAATGTATACGTTTTGCAATAGCCTTCCTGTTTCTGGGAAACCTCAAGAGGAACAGGAGACTCTAATAGTTGATATAGATCACAACCACTGTTATAGTTATGATATATGTCACCTTGACCTTAAAATTCAGATATTAAAACTTAGGCTGACTTTTCTTTCGGAGCTAAAATGAGTCAAAGGTGATTTAACTGTACCTTATTTATTTAAAAAAAAGATTTACACAAGTTTCTCTGTTACAGCACTTTATCTGTGCATCTAATAAATTTCTTAAGCTTTTCATAGGTTGTATGTTGCTATATTTTGTTAATTTGTTTGTGTGAACTAAATATAAACCAGGTTATCTTAAAACTTAATATATAGGCATATGCAAATTACTTAATTGTTGTTTTTTGACTTGTTGCCTTTTGCAGTCTGTTTTGGTATAAGTGCCTTAATTCTCCAGGTTTATCAGAACAGCCTGTGCGGTTTTGGTTTTGAGGCAGAGTATCTCTCTAGCAGCCATAAGAAAAACAGCTCAGCATAATTAAAGGCAAAGGTCTTTTAACCCCATCTAAAGTTCCTTTTTACTATCAGACAGTCCCCTTTATGGTCATTCTGTCATGACAGTGACAGTTTCATCTTCACCAATAAATGACAACATAGAGAAATACTGAATGCTGTCTCCTCTCACTTGCAGTTCTTGATCAGGGCCAATGTGATGTCCATGAAAATAGTTAACCACATCGTATTTCACCTTCTTTGCCTTCAGTGTTTATTAACCACCCTTTGGAAACTACAGACTTGGAAAAAGTATAACTTTCTTCCCCTCTGCATGGATTAGCTGCATGGGTTTTTAAAAAACAAAGCATTACTTCTTAATTAATACTTGAACTCATTGTTCATGTAACAGCACCTGTAGCCCTCTCCCCCCACAGACAGAAATGAAGCCCTTGCTTTGAAATGCTCAATCTTCAGCAGTAACTGCTAAAAAAAAAAAAAAAGCAGCACCTAATTTTAAAAAATAAAAATGAAAAACGCCATCAATCAGTGGAGTACAGCATCCTTATTCCCCACATAACTCTTAGGCATATAAATAATCATTAAAGGTAAAATATTATCTGCTCAAATGTTCTTAAGTACTTCGCTGGACAGAGCTAGAGCCCTAGAATCTGGTAAAGAAATAATGCTTTAAAATAATGTCTCAGCCTTGCATTAATAATTATTTTCTGAACAATTTATCTTAAAGATTTTTAAGCCAAGGTGACAGTGTATTTGCAAGGCACTTCTTTCAGATGTCAGTATGTAAGGATTTCATACGCTTCACTCTAGAGAGGTTGATAATAACTTTAGCCCAACTAAATTAATTCATTTTATATATATATATTAGCATACCTTTTTCATGCCTTTCCCTCAAAATATACAAGGATAATACAGTTAGTGGCGCTTCTCTTTAATTACACCCTGAAGGAAAGTATGAGTAGTTAACAGAGCATACACTAGAAATACAATTTTTTAAACTAAGAGAAATAAAGCCCAGAGGAAGTGTACAACCCAGCATGGCTGTAGCAGTAAAAAATGTACATCCTATAACTGTGCATTGCTACGTTTGCGTAAGCTTGCATGCTGTCTAGTAAAGCCTCTACTTTTCAAATACACACAGCCTGAATAATTACAAAACAAGTGTGCCAAGGCTACCTCAGAAAGGAGGTTTACGTTCATAGGAATGAAATGCTTCTGGTGGCAGCACATCATTTGACTGCAAGAAGATAAGCACAGACCTGGAAGCAGACATTGTACCTGTACCTGGAACATATTTCAATAGAAAGCTATGAAAAATGCCAGAGGTGTTTTAGATTCATCTTCACATCAAAAATTGCATTTTTCACCAGGGTAGCTCTACAAATTCAACCATGGATGGGAGTCTGGATTAGAATTGACTACCTGTCACTGGAGGGAAGAACGTCCTATCTGTTTAATAAGCAAAGCAAAAAAAAAAAAAAAAAGAATCTTTGAGTCTTCCTAAGGAAGTCAGTTATCAACCATTAATACTTAGAGTTTCTAAGTCACCTACAAAACACTGATAAATTTTAGCTAGCTCTGTATTTCATAGGAGAATGAGTCTTCATTCCCTTACACTAGATCAAATACTGTTTGCAAAGACACTAATAAAGCTTAACTTTTGAAAAGCCTCTCTTGTTGATGACTGGCACATGCCTCAGAGGAGTGGTGTAATGTGAAACATCAGTTACTCTTTGGTCTGAATAAGGAACTCGCAGAGACTTTCTGAGGTAGCCATAAATGAGGGAAAAAACCCCACTGAAGTAAGAGCATAGCACCATTTTCCATTAAAAAAAAAAAAAAGAGGTGTCAGAGCACTGGGCTTTTCCTCCTCTGTGTGCAGGCAAACTCCTGGACTTCACACTCAGTTTCTGGCTGTCTTGATTCACGCATCAACCACACACAAAACAGGTTTATGAGTTTATCCTTCTTCACATCAGTGATGTCTGGTCTTGGGTAACGAGGACTGTTACTGTGTTTTTGTCATTACAAGTTCTTCATGCAGACTTGGCAGCGGCTGACCCTTGTTCGAAGCTGTCCTGCTTTCAGAGTTTCTGAGGGAGGAGCACTGACAAACTGCTGCGACTGTTCAACAGTCGTCAGCCAGAAGCTGTATTTGTTTGCAAAGTAGTGGCACGTTCCCCTGGCACCATTGCATTCAATGAATGGAGTAGCACGGAAATCCTCCAGGCAAGAGCCAGGTGAGACAAGGGACTGACCTCCGCCTTCGGCACCAGCCGCAGTGTGCTGCAATAAAGATGTCAGTTTGAGTGCAAAGGAACAGAACGGGACATAAAAAGGGGAGTCCTCCAGTTCCATGGTAAAAGGATTAAAACATGCAACCAAAGTTACATCTTGGCTATATCTGGCTTTTGAGTCAGGGCTAGAGGTGAAGCAGCAAAGGAATGAACTTGGACTGAATATACAGGCCTGGTCTAATGGAAAGCCAGCTTTTCACTTGCAAGCTGGGAAAATTTGGAAACAATAATGCTGACTTCATGCTTTTCTAGCAATTTTACACTAATAAGCTTCTAGGAGAGTGCAATGGAAAAGGATGTACTTTTTCCACAGAGAGGGGATTAAGACAATGCTGTAGCTTAATTAGCATTTCCACATTTAAAGGTTTGAAGAACAAAGAATATCTGTGGCGATACAGAACTGCTGCCTCAGTGTTACTGTTGAACTTGAGCAGTACAGGTGAGGCCAGCTCAACGGGAACAAACTCAGAAAGCCTGCAGCAGTCCAGCTGATACAGAAGACACGCACTAGGGCAAGAAGCTACAGGGCTCTGGTCTCCTGTAAGCAACTCGCAGAATAGTCTCAATCACCTAATCAAAGAGGAGATCTAGAAATGTTTAAAGCTACCTTTGCATTAGCAGTAGTATCCTTACCATAAGAAAGGAGTATCCTATCCACAGGCTGCGCCAGCCAAGGGGACACTGTGGGATGGTGATGTCCTGGCTGTGCACAGCCACAGCCTGCGAAGGTGCTTCGCACACTGAGCAGCGACTGATGTACTGTGGGATCTGACCACTGTCCACTGGCATCATGGGGATAGGAGCAGTGGTGGAGAGCCAGTAGGACTTGTCATTGCGGCTGGCGTAGTAGCACACTTCGTTAATGTTGCAGTAAATAAAAGGCATGGTGCTGAAGCGAGGCAAACACGAGCCAGCAAAGCCTGGAAAGATTGGAGAAGCGGTCATTGCATCATCTGCCAAAGGCTCCAACTCATACACAGCAGACATGAGTGGCGGAGGATGGCACAGCCACCTGTGGTATCAATGACGACAGCTCATTTGAAACGGGATTTTGGCCTACATGGATATGCCTGAGAGAATTCTGTCAACTCACCAAGATCCTGGTTGTGTGACTTTTCCTGCCCCTCCACATACAATAAGCTGTAGCCGTCCCAGAGCTTATTCATTCCTATAGGACAAGGTGGGATTTGGTCTGACTGACTGTGCTTCACTAAAGTGTATCCAACGCCCACGCTCCGACCAGGCATTCCCGGCAAACCAAGTGAGCCCGGCTTTCCAGCAACACCTAGAAGACAGAAAAGGAGTCACCATTACTAACAGCAGTGTGGACATCAGCTGGCTCTGTACTCGATTTGGGGGTTGCTGTCACGGTGTTTATGTCAGTCTTGTACAACGAGGAGCCCAAGTTTTGATGGTTGTTATATGAATAACTAGACTTATCAGTTCCAAAACCAGTCATTTCACAGTAGCATCCACCCATTTCCTACCTCACTTAATTTTCCTTCTTTGCCCAATAACTCTGGTGCCAATGTGTTGGCACATATCTCATAGCACAATAACCCTGAGGATCTCAAAGCACCAACCAAAACCTAATTCATTTTTGCTACAGTGCTCTTCATGATGATATTCCTTTGACAGAGAAAGGCCAAAAGTTGTACAAGTCTGTGGCAGAATCCAAACCTCTACTATCCAACCCTCACAGCCGGGTTCACTCTGAATACCATTCTGCTCTTTTCAATCTTCAAGATGACTCCCACATCCACAAAACATTAAACCCAAAAGATGTTCAGAATTGTACCTAGGGCAACACCAGCAGTAGTGAGAGACAACAATGACATGTGACATCATCTTCCTCTCTGCAGATTAAATTTACTTCATTGCAGATACCAGACACAAGGTCTCCTAAGGTAACTGGGTGTTGGGGAGAGTCTCTGCAGAACCTGTAGGCAAACAATTCTACTGATTGCTTCTTTCTGACCTGTGCTCCCCAAATCATAGAGTTACCTTCAAATCCTTGTGGTCCTGGGGCACCTGAAGGTCCTGGATCCCCGACTATGCCAGGTGATCCAGGTAAACCATCACGTCCTTTCAAACCAGATCTTCCTGGCAGCCCTTTTGTACCTGAAATGAAATACACTTACTACTGTCATTATTTCCTCATACTAATGCCTTCACTCCTGCAATCATATTCCAGAAGATAAATTCTCAATCTTCAATAGCTGTGGTTACAACTAACTCCATACAGGGATTCCACATCATCTGATTGTCTGTTAAAGGATCAAGAAGTGCAGCTGAACATTAGACAAGGCTGAAAATGTAGCACTGGGAAGTGAGCTAAGCTGCTGATGGTAGTCTGAAGCCACATTGGACCTAAGACTCAGGTTTCAATTTGATGGCTGTGGAAGTCTGTGAACTCTTCTCATCTCAGCCTCACAAGATTCCTGCCCTGGGAAAACAAGAATCTGCTAGTGTAATGGTCCAGCT